AAACAAACCCCACAACCTAAGTTTGTTCAGGTAGCTTTACTAGCTGTTACAAACAAGGATTTCTAAATGGTTAGGTTGAGTTGTCACCTACCGGTAGATAATGGGTTGCTATTTATGAAAAATACAGTGTGCAAGAACAAAACTACCTAAAACTCCTTTTTCCTTTTTTCTCAGAGAATAATTTTCTGGCATTTTGTGATGGGGGAGAAAGACATCATCATTCCTACAGCATCTGTTAACTGCAGGAAATCCATTTCTTACGAGATTTTTCTGCATCTATTTTAAGGATTTGCAGAAGTGTTTTATGAACATTTCACTAATGAAAATACATTGTACAGTGCTTTGAAACAAACCATGATCCTTTCTGGATGAAGGCTTCTGAACATTAGCATTTTTATTTTTTTTAATTTTTTTTAGAGTTGCCAAAACAGAAGCAAGAAGATTTAAGATGGAGATGCTCAAGGTCTCTTGGCAAGTTAACAGCCAGGAGAATTCAGAAGTTCCTGCTAATGTCTCTGTTCAGTCCATAGTACCGCACTGCCTCTCAGTATATGGCTGAGGTTTTCATAAGTACTCCATTTTAGGCTAACTCTATTTCATTTGAAATCAGGAGGATGCTTACAATTGGTCTTTAAACTAGAAAAACCTGTTGAGGAGCAATAATAAACCTGTATTATAAATTATTAGATGGACCACAGATTTTTTCCCTTTGTCTAGCTGAAATTTGAGACTAAAGGCCTCCCCGACCTTAAAGTAATATAGTTTTAAATTGTGCTGGCTGGCAAGGAAGAGAAGAACAAAGGAGAAGCTTAAGAAGCTATTTTGGATTTATGCAGCTGCCACAGTGATAAGCGTGGCATAAATACTTTCATTAGATGGGCTTGAAGTGAAGCTCTGTGGGCTTGGACAATAGATTAGGGTTGGTCTGTTAGGAAAGTGCAAATACTTAGCATAAATAAACCATAGCTGAAGAGGACTGCACTTCAACTTGGAATAAAGGGTTTAATTCCTAGCCTAGATTTTAGGTTATGATCCAGCTCCTGTTACTATTGACTTCAGTGGGAGTTGAATCAGGCCCTTTGCTCCTGGGGTCCCAATCCTGTAGACTTTGAGTCCCATCCGACACTGAAAACAGCTTAAATTAAATAAATAGAGGTGTAGAACTGAATCTCCCCAAAATGTTTTTAAATTAAATTCATACGCCAGAAAATACCCTGCCAGTTTTAGAAACTTATGACTGCAGATACTGAAAAGGACTCAAATAAAAATGTAGAAAATGTACTAAGTCTCTACAGTGTTATCCCTCCAGATCTGCATAAGGGGAGCTTGTCTTACAGTAGGGCTTTGAGAACAGGATGGTTAAGCAGAAAAGCCCCATGACATACTACACAGAGATGCCTGCATAGAAAAGGAAAATCAAGTGACCACATATAGTGATAAGATAGATCAAATACTGTACCAGAACATAGGTATCAGGCTTAGGATCAATCTTCATAATGCTTTATTTTAACATCACCTAACTGCCCCAGCATTCCAGGTATCAAAATGTACAAGTATAATGCCACACCACAAAGGACAAATCCTATAAATAAACTGAAAACATAGGGATAAGCTGACTGTGGCTAAATACACTGAACCAAATTTAGCCCCTGGTATAACTAACTGCAGTGGATGGACTTGATTAATTCTGCTTGACACTACCAGGTTAGTGTCTTTGTCTCCTCCTTAAGAGACAGAAACAAATATAGGAAGTAAAGTGATATTTTAAGATTTAGGCAAACAGCATTAAGAAACCGCATCGACCTTACAAGACATAGCTCAACCTACAAGAGCGAGGTAAGGAATGGACTCTGCACTTCACATCGTCGTGGACAATGGTACTGTATGAGTTCTTAAGCAGTGAATTTTTTAACCCAGAATCTCCCAGCAATGACACCAGAAGGAAAGCAAATAAGGCTGATCACTCCATTGCTCTTACCACGTGAGTTTTACCTCATCTGAACTTAGTCACATGTCTGAAGTTGTCACCTCTGAAGGAAGAGCTCACAGGACAGAGGTTAACCAATGCACGACATGCTGCTTTGAATTTTCCTGGATTTGGACAAGATAAGTGGAATCTTGCACTCAAAACACAAAAGGAAGGTAGGTTTTGAAACACAACTTCATTATGAACAACTGAAAATGTTCTTCCTATGCTATAAGGTTAAAGACAAGTCGGGCCAATTTGCTGTACAATGGCTTCTTCTTGTATCAGTTATCTGTAATTCACACCACTTGCCATTTGTTGACTGGAATAATCCAATTACCTGAAGACTGCTAGTTCATTTTCTTAGAAAAATACTATTCAGTAAAAAATGAGGCCCGAGTCCTGCAATTCTATGCACGCAGGCCCCATACACTCACACAAAAGCCCAGGGATTCTGCATGGATGAAAGTTTTGCTCAGTAGAGTTAGACTGCAGAATTGGGATTGAGAGATGCACCTGATTACATTTCCTTCTCTCATTTGGACCAAAATTGGACAGAGCTCGACACCCAGAGTAAGTGCCAAGTTTTCCAAGTTGCTCAGAGTTCACAATTCTTTTTAAAAAATGTGTTCAAGTGTCACAGTGTGATCTACTGGCTGCCAAAAATCTAGCCCACCAGTTGTTCCTGTTGAACATTTGGAAAATTGGTCCCTGAGGTAGTCTGAAAGTTTGGCTCTCAAGCTAACCTCATCTCCATTCCTTCCTGCAGTCTGAGTTATTCAAATGCAAAGGAGAAAGGGCCTTGCATTTCCCACGGCCTAGAAAAGCCTTTCACTATCTTTCTGCCTCTGACTTTATGTCATTCTCAAGTAAAGTTTGGACTCATCTTTGTGCCTAATAACTTCTCTCTTTCTTCCATTTGAACTTTGTAATAATACCATATGGCAAGGCTTGTATAAAAAGAACACTACACAATGTGCAGCTTAGTCCTATTCCAAGCTACAAATGTAAACATTTAATTTGACCAATCCTCAGTGCAAAAGGCAGTTATAAAAACCTAGAGGCTCTTGCAGTTCTTCTCCCTGCCTATCCTGTGAGCAGAGTCTCTCTTTTATGGATACAGACATTTTTCTGCTTCCAAATGGGTACAGTTGTAGGGGAGGAATGGTCTGTCCTACTACCAATAGGTGGGGCAGGCCTATCTCATACAAAAGCAGCAAAGCCTGGGCAACTGTGGCTTAATCAGATAAGAAATGGGGGGGAGGGGGGTAAGGAGTGAGGTGGCAAAGCAGCTTGGGCTCTGTGCCAGCCTCACTGGAGAACAGATTTTTGGGAAAGGAGTGAGCATCTCCCCTAATGGCTATCACAGCAGTACAGTGCTCCCTGTCCTCTTAAAATATCTTAATGCTCACCAGGCCAGGTATTTCAATTTGCATGTCAGAGAGCCGATGGGGTAATGCTCAGATGTGAAGACTGCATTCAGCCCAGTCTCATTTTAAGGCAAATTCTCTTGTAGGGCGTGTGGTGCATACACTGTAATATTTCAGTTACTGAAGCAAAGCAACACATGCTATTTATCTTCTGATGTAATCAGAGAGGAGATAAGAGCTATGATTCTTGTTACTGAAGAAAAAAATGCTACCCCTGCCACCTTGTACAAAAAAAAAAAAAGTAATAGCCCCCTCTTGCTTAGTCAGGGATTCTGTGGGATGACTCCCTGTGCAGAAGTTCCCAGGATGCAGTACTAGAACCACATTCACAATACTACCGTACGGTGGTGGTAGGGGTTGAGGAATATTCTGAGATAGCAACAGCTTCCATTCAAAGAGAAATACAGGCTCTCAGTTCATCCAATACCTCCAATACAGTTCATCCAATACCATCCAATACAATACACCTGTATTGTAACTTCAGGTGCAGAAGACAATTTTGAACCTGTTGTCCGAGCAGACTGTACTGTCCCTCCTGTTCCTCCAAAATGTAGGTATAAAAAGTACATTTGTTCTAAATAGTCTAATTTGGATTGTTGCTGGCTTTATGTAAAAAAAAAAAAAAAAAAAAGTCTTCAATAAGACCATTTTCTTCCTTGAAATAAGTCTTACCTCTTGAAAATCCACAGGGGCTAGTGAGAAAGGAACAGGAGATGAATGTGGTTGGCTAGGGTCACTAAATATAAGAAAGAGGAAAACGAATTACTGTGGTGCACCTGGGTAAGAAAACAGCTCCATCATAAAAACCCAGTGAAAGATGGAATTATGAATGCAGCTACAGCTTTACTTTCTTGTCATGGTATCTGACTAGTAGCTTCAATGCCCACCCCCAACCCCACTTCCCCAGCCTTTTAGACCTTTCCATTGAACCCCCAACACCTGCCATTGGACAACTAAACATCATCGGTTCTCCATGCTTCTGCTTCACTCTGACATGAGTGCAAATGCATCTCAGTGATTGAACTGACCAACTTTCATGCTACAAATACAGTCAAGGAGGGTGGCAAGCTGCCATGGGATGGAACAGAGCTTTGCTACTTTGAGAAGCACCATTCCAGACTGAGTCTCCAATCTGACCTAGTTTTCTATACCCCATTGTTTTTCCCTTCCCTAGATTCTTAACTAAGAATCTCCTGGGTCTGTGACCCCTTTCATTTGGGCATTGCTGCTGGCAACTCTCCTTTTAGGCAGAGCTCCCCAAGAACAGCAGAAGTGAAGTGTAGGTAGATGGTACAGAGATCAAGCCAGTCACTGGCAAGGCTGACCACCTCAGTTCTTAGTTCTCTCATAAAAGGAGGTTTTGAAATTAGCCCACAATGGGACAGATTGTCAGCTATTATCCATCCAGGGGGCTATAGCCATCTTAATCTCAGCCAAATGCTGAGTTTCCCAACATCAGCCAGCCTGATATTGGGTACAGAAACAGGCATTTGTACACTGAATATTCTGGGGCGATTTGAGAGCTTACTCCCCCCCCATTTTTGTTTTTTTGTTTTTTTTAATCACTATGCTGGCTCTGAATGTGGCAGAAGTAGAGCACTTACATTTTTCATGTGCTAGTTCCTGGATGCTGCACTCTGTTATTGCAGAGAAAATGCAGTCATCTCCCCAGTAAGGAGGTTTCTGAATCCTGTGCTGTAAGATAAAAGAAGCGATAGTCTTGTGATGGCCATAGGTTAAGAACCTAACTTTTATTTATCATGCTGTATCTGCTTCTTCCCAGTAATCTTGCCATTACAGCCAATGTAACCCTGCACAGGCAAGCAACAGTATAGCTCTACAGCAGACAGCTATGCAGAGAGCCAACTACCCACCCAGATCTGTGTTCTCAGACTACCAGAAACCCTGCTGCCTCATTGGTCACAGAAAATGCAGCAGAGCTTCAGAATCTACCATATCTGTCCTGTGGCATGTGAAGTAGATTTCTGACCTAGTCAACAGACTCCAAAGAGAAGCCTTTTTTTAAGACAGAGTATATTGTGTGCTATGCTAAGCACTTGCATTCTGAATGTGTAGAAGAATCTATTTATGTGCAACAAGTCCCCCCACACTGCTCTGAGTCACACCTTTAAAAAACCCTCCATTACATGTCTCAATTCCACTATCTGCTCTTCTTCAGCTCTGTCAGCATTGTTTGAGGAACTGAAAAGCAAATGGAAAATATCTTAGGACAAAAAAGATCTAGCTACAATTTAAAAATTCTGGTCCATCACTTAAGATCTAAACAAGATTAAGTAAACACCTTGCTGTTTACTATGGGTAGGATGGAGACCAAGTTTAGGTTTTAAGGGGCTGAGCATAGAAGTGATAGATCAAAGACACATTTTTTGTATGAACCACTTTCCCCTACTCCCTGTATCCTTGACCAAAATTCTTACTGTAAACTGCAGCATAGGAATGCCTCATTCCCTCCCCAAGCCCCTAGAGAGGGTTGCTTCAGGGGAACCAAGACAATGCATCATGCATCTAAGCTATTTCAGCACCTGATCCTGCTCACAGTGAAATCAGTGGCAGTTAATACCATCTACTCCAATAGAAGCAAAATACAACCCCTATCAAAAGTAAGGACTTATGACAGGGACAGCCTGCACTTAGTTATGGAGAGGCAGCCCCCTCCCCTTACAGAATGTAACATCATACAGCAGAAAGGGAAACTGCATTCTAGAGGATTCAGCGAGGTTCAGTATGGCTAATGAAGTAAAGGAGCATGTAAATGAGGGGCAGGGGCAACACCAATGACTGGAAGCCAGTCAAGCACTGAGGAATCAATCCTGGATAAAGGAGGGATTCAGAAATAAGAGAAAGGGCCTGGTAAAGGAAGCAGCGTGGCAGTGCTATAATTCAGAATGATCCATGCATGGATCCTGTTTCTAGCTCTACTACTGCCTCCCTTTCAGAAAAAAAAAATCTGCTACTCTTCCTGTATCACAATAAAATGGCTCTAAATGTCACCCTATATCAGATGCTTATCTAAAGTTACAATGCTTTGTAGTTCCCTGGAGGGGTGAGGGGAGGCAGAAAAAGAGAGAGACTACATTACATACCAAGTGAAGAAACATAACTCGCTTAAGAGAAAAACTGAACAGTGGAAGAAGCTTAAAAGCATTATATGCCTGGAATGGAGAAAATACTGTGTATGGTTTAATTTACAAGAGTTTCTTTTTAATTAAAACTCTGGTCAACAGGGCATTAGCTGTTGGCCTGCTAGTCAAATAGTGATGCCTTTGGTTGCTGGATACAAATAAATTGCTTAGAAGTTAAATGTGCATTAATACTTTCTTGTTATTACTTTGCTTTATGTGGCACAGAAGTGTTATTTATCATGGAAGAAAGGTGGTCCCCGGAACTCTGTCTAGCAAGATGGAGTTCACATTACAAAAATAGCCCAACAACCCACAAAATTAGGAAATAATATAGAGCTAGCTGTTTTAGTAACTAGAATTTAGTTATGGGGGAAAAAAAAGTGGATCTCAAAGGAAGAATACCACATTTAGCCCAGCTCAACACTCTAGGAGTTCACAGTAGAAGTAATTTTTTTTAAAGCCAGAAAAAAACTGAAAACAGAAGTTTTAAAAAAGAAAAACCTTTCAATTCCAGCTGGAATGTTGAACCTGGTCTTGAGGTAGCCATCATGCTGATGAGCATTTCTGGCACAGTGCAAGCAGAATGGAAAGCAGCGTAACTGTTTGTCAAACCATTATTAATGCATGTGAGCAATGATTAGGTCTATAGAAGTGCAGTTGGTTATCCTCATTCAGCACTGTTCTGCCCTTCATAGTCATGCTCATGGGTACAAACTTACCATCCCAATTTCGTAGCATTTTACCAATACAAAGTACATACAGAAGGTAGCAAATCAGAATAAAAACGTTTTGCACACACTTTGTCCCAATGGGAATAACTTCACAAGGTGCAGGACAACAGTAAGATGGAGCTGCTGTTTAAACAACGGAAGAGAAAAAGCCAGATTTTGCCTACAGTCATCCACCGACTTCAGGGACATTGACCAGATGTAATCTGTTCTTACAGCTTCTCTTACTACAGTTATTATTCAGATTAACTGGAAACTGGGTTACAGCCTCTACAACTGGTTGCCAACTTTACCAGAGTCAGTTTTAATGGAAAATAACTGCCCACGAGATAGGTTCAGAAATGCCTAGCAAGATTACATTTTTAACTTCACTTCCCACATGTGTCAGTGTCTTATTCTTGGTGACAAATGCTTCTTACCCTAATGAATGTTTGTGCCATGGGGCTGAATAAAGTGACCAGAGTTTTCCTTTAAAGAAGTGTGCAAAGGACTTGACTGATTAGGAAAAAAGACCTTAACATCAGTGCCAGGCAGTTGGAGAGCGCTGCTGCCTAGACTGGAAAGAATGTATTAAAGGAGCAGGTCATAAATCCAAAAGCAGCCAATATGATAGCAAACCCCCACTCAAACGTGAAGTTTGGTACAGCTGGGACAAGGGAGGCATAAGAACACCTGGTCTAATAAGAAGGGTTTTAACTCCATTTAAGAAAAATATTTTTGTTATGGCTCTATTTAATGAACTTGATTATAAGAGTAAGCACATAGGGAGGGGGTAGGGAAGTGATTCAGGAAGTCTTGCTATATTCAGCTGTAGTTAAGTGAAAACTTTTCCGCTTTTAGCAAAACCCAGACTGGACTGCTTTCCGCTACACTAAAAAGTCAGCTGGGCCAAACTAGCTTGACCTTGTTCCTCGATGCCAGAAAATGCTGGCTCCAGTTGACTGCCTGCATGCCAGAGCCGCCACAAAAAACTGACTGGAAGGATTCTGTTGGAGTTTACTGCAATACCTTTGTCCACCTAAAGGTTCTGTAAACCTTCCAGCTCAGTAAGAGGTACATGGCCAAGACAGTCATTTAATATTGAAGCATTTGAAGCTGTTGTTTGCATTGCATGCCAGCATGCATTCAAATTCAAACTGGCTTGAAAAAAGGAAACTTGGGTTTGCCAGACAAGAAGATTCTGTGCTGTCCTGTGCTCCATGGGAGATCAGAGCAGGAGGGAATGAAAAGGGGCATCTTTCCATCTCAGCCAACTGTTTGCTGAAATGACTGTAGGCACATACTCCCAAAACTGGAGTCTCCTCTGCATGCAAGAGCTGATGAATATTTTAATGGCCAAATCCACTAGAATAGTATATTGTGATAATATAGAAACAAATCCAGCAGGCTAGATTGTCTTTACCACTGCTACAGTCTACCTGGGTTATACACGTTCACTCGCATTGTGTTTGACCGGGAAATGAACTAAGACCCCACGAGAAGTTCTTGGCACCCCTGATTTCAGCATAAGTGGAGGCTAATGCATTTGCAGGGACATGCACATTGCTATGAAATCTCATCTCCCCTTAGTCCAAACTAGATTCTCTACTACCTTGCACTTCCCAGCATTCATTTACACCTACGCAGAAGGGATGTAATATGCTACCAAATCAGAATTCTGGCATCTTGCACAAATGCCACTGACATAAGATTCAAGGCACAAGAAAAGCAGATCCAAGATGCCTAGCCAGCTACATCCAGTTGGCAGCATCAAGGCCTCATCATCTCTTACTGCAGTGCTGCTTTTGTAGAAGATGGTGACCATTTGTCACGTACAGCTTGATCTCAGCAGAGAAAGAAGAGCTGAATGTGGAAACTGTCCTCGCATTCTGTGCTTGGGTTGAGAAGCTTTTCTGATGCTGCTCTGCTGGACAGAGGTTTTGGCCAAGAGAAGAGAAGGGCAGATTTTAAAAATGGAACTCTAGGAAGCTGAAACAAAATGCAACTGCAACCATCTGGTACACACCTAAGGAATTTGTGTAAGCAGGAGTGGGAAGCCTATGGCCACTCCATATTCATAGCCATAATTCACTGCTGTAACTCAAGACCATAAAAAATAGAGATAATGAACAATCAGTGAGGTTTGGTCTACGTGGCTGTTACTATGAGAGTATTAAGTGATTTACCCAAGGCTCTAGTGTAAGTGTGGCAGACTTCTTGCCCTAACCACTATCTGTCAATGGCCCTGGTTATTACAAAGGCAGGTTTTTCTAATCAGAAGAGCTACAATGTTTTACCAACAGAGCTTTCTTCTTTGATGCCCTTTTAGTTGCTTGTGCTGCTGAGATATGGACAACAGATCACTTTCAAACTCATTCAGGTAACATTAGTGCCCAAGTCCCATTGTTTTCCAAGAACATTTATGCTCCTGAAGCCTAGAGCAGTGGTTCCCAAACTGATAGATTGCACACTACCAATTTAACATGATACAACCTTAAGAATCACCAGCAAATTTTTCAGTTCAACCTTAAGTACCATCAACAATTTTTTGTCATATAAATTATAATAAATCTGTTAATGCATACCATTGACAGGGTGTCTGCATACCACCGGTGGTAAGCGTACCACAGATTGGGAACTGGTGGCCTAGAGCAAAGGCATTTAGAAGTCTTACTCCTATGAAAAGTGATGGGAGTCAAGCTCCTAAATACTTTTGAGTATGTAGCTCTTAAGTGCCTCAGTCACATTTCTATTTTCATTCTCCAAAACTAAGTCAGTTAGGTGCTTCTGAAAGTTCCACCCAACATGACTCAAAAGTTATTCATTCTGGGCCCTCTTCATAAGATTCAGACCTGGTTAATGGAATAAAGTGTCTCAAGAACCTGATAAATCCTTCAGTCAGAAATATTTTTCCTTCATAAATAAATAATCCAACTCTCATATGTAGTGGAGACAGATCCAGCCCCTTTAACTTCAGTGTTTCAGAGTGACATCTTGTGGTGAAGTCAAGTCAGTGTGAATGCGACACTGTCAAAGCACTGTTCCTAATTCAGAGGTGATGAAGGTAGCCCTGAAAAACAGAGATGATAAAAGCACCATCTTCATTTCAGACCCAGCCCACAGTTCTGTATGCAAGGCAATTTATTTAACACAATTCACAGAAACAAAAAAGCAAAAGGAAATAGACCGCTACCCTATGTCATCTTCTAAATGCATTTTTTAAAAGTCACTCAGTCTGCTTGTGTAAAAGATTGACTGCATTAGGTTGAGACAAGCACAATATGGGTGCACAGACTTATATAATATAACAGCCTATATAACAGGCGCACACACTTATATCTCTGCTACTGACCTTCAGAGCTGATCTGTAGCTCTTGGGCCCCTCCTCTCACAACTTAACAAATGTCAGCGATGCTGGTGTTTTTGTGATATTGATCCCTGTTCACTAGGACCTGGACAGGAATTTTAGGAATATTCCAGAAACAAGTCAATGAATAGCCATCAGATTTACCTTCCTACTGCAATTCCAATCTTGGACTGAATTATGACCTAGCAAGCTAAGTTGCAACGATTTCTACATCTCATTAAAAATCCATTGAATCACCCTGTCCCTAAAATTAGCTCTACTGTAGATGCACACATGTGAGAAAGATTCTAGTAAGCTGTTGAACAAACAAACATTACCCAAACCCATACTCTTCCCAACAGGGGATGAAGCAGTTTGGCAACAAGGGCAACCATCTGCTTTTCTCATCAGGTTCCTGAACAGATTTACAGGCAGAGAATATGTCCTTCTTTCCCCCTCCCCTCCCACCCTTTGTTAAAATAGGGGCATAAATCCATTTCCTTTAGATCACCTATGTACTTAAAAAAACAAACAAACCATAAAACAGTTACGGGTAAGGCATACTGAACCATGGGATTCTCTTTCAAGTTTTATCACCTCTGAGAAAGTTACTGAACTTATACGTTTAAGTTTCAACATCTGTCTTCTGTAACTGAGTATGCGTTCACCTTACTCAAATGATTTGGAGATCCCTAATTGAAAAACCATGGTGCAGGGTATTGATACAGACTGCAGCCTGCTAAAGAAAGGATCACAAGAACAGACTTTCCATTTGCTCTGAGTGTTAGGGATGTGTACAGGTTTGGGTCCTTTAATTCTAAGTGAATGCTAACTTCAAAATGAAAGAGTAGGGTGAGTCTAATAAACTACTAGAACCATACAGTTGGTTGCTTAAAGACTTCTGTTACCATAACAACAAGATGCAACTATAACAATAAAGCCAGGGCCATCTTAAATATGGAAATGAAGGTCACAAAATGTCCTTTGTTGTCAACTAAACAACTTTTGTCTCTAGGGAGAAATAAGGGATGTATTAAAACTGGGAATCACACAGCAATTTTATAAGCAATTTTCAAAATGTTGTTATTTTGCCATTTAGCTTCAGTGGTTATTTTTAACTTTAGCTAAGCATCTGGAATGAACGCTGGTCATGGTTGGCTCATCTGCTCCACTTATTCAGTAATTTCCTTTCTGCACTTGCATGCCCTGTGAAGTATGCAATATGACATTTGCAAGAAGTTAACTTGAGTATCATTTAAAAAAAATCAAAAGTAATAAAATATTTCATTTGTATATCACTTTTCATCCAGATGGTCTTGGAAGACTTAAACTGTAACTGATATATAAGCTATAAAAAGAAACCACCAAGTCACTAAAATGTAGTTACTGGCTGGCTGGATGTGACAGTGTTTAACAATGCACAGAAACATTATACTACAGTTTAGTAAAGTCCTCTTTATCCAACTGAATCTGTAAGGAATTGGCAAAAGAGAATATGTCTACCCATGTTAGAACTGGGCCAAAAATTTAGAATTCATACTCCCACACTTCTCCTTCGAAGATAGAAAGGTGCTATATGGTCTTAAATGATCAGGACTTTTCTAGACTGTTATACATCTTCAAATAAATCAACTGTCTTTATTACAAAAAACCCCCACCCAGCTCGAGAACCTTGGAAATATGAAATCCTCCAAACCTCATATATCACAATTTTGGGGGGTGAAAGAAAATGCATTTTCCATTTTTGTGAGGTTTAAGGTTCAGAAGAGATGGGTAACTCATCAGTACACACTTTAAGGCACTGTCTACACAGGAAAGGTTTGCTGGTATAGCTCTCTTGCCAATATGACTTCTAATCATTCCCCAAATGAAACCAGCTATTATTATGATATGTTACCATAGCGCTGAGAAACTCTAGTTATGGGCCAGGACCCTGTTGTACTACTGGCAAACAGACTTCATTGCCAGAAAAAATACTGTCTACGTTAGGGCTTCTAGCCAATATAAAAAAAATAAGAGCGACAGAAAGAGTTTTAAAGAATTGCCATCTTATATATTATGCTGCCAAAAGTTTCTAGTGTGGACTAGATCTTATTTGCAATGTCTCACAAAGCTGTTGTGAGACTTTCTTTGAAGCACTTTGAGATCTTTAAAATGACAGAGATTAGTTGTAGAGCACAACATTATCTGTTATTATAGTAGGAATAAGCAAACGCTTCACTAAGCTTTTAGCTTATTATCTGTTTTCCCATCCCATTAAAAAAGAATGTCTGTAACTGCATAAAAGACAGAACAAGGAAGATGAAAAAAGTTGCAACTTAAAAACCTGCCACTTTTTTTCCCCCATTGTTTCTGGCTGGCACACTAGTTTCCCGAGAGTTACTCACTGGATTTGTAACATTAGAATATTAAAAAAAAGTAAAGTTTGCATTATTAAAAATATTCAGTTGTACTATGCTCCATTAGGCTAATTCTAAAGAACCTGAAAAAAAATACTGACTTAAGCCTATAATCCAAAAAGGAAGTAAATGTAAAAGTATTTCAAAACAAAGGTTATTTTGGCTCCTTTCCCCGCCCTCTAAAACTCTACCCAAATTGTAACTTTGGGTAAAACTGTCAACAGTATCTGGTGACTAAAGTCCTCAACTCCCACCAGCTTGGAAGGAGACTTTCACTCCTACTGGGACTTGGCAGCTTAAGCGACTCAGGCTCCTAAGTTTTATTTTTGTGTACCCCTCCAACAAGAACTGCAGACACAGGCCTCTACGATACTGAGTTCATTGCTGTACTGGAGGCCTGTGTTTGTACAACCTATTTTTGTGTGAAAGAAGAATTACAGTCTTGTTACAAATGGGTAAAAATGAAAACCACACAAGCCTGGAGCAAAAATTTGATTCTTTTCACGCCTTGCGCATGTTACTCTGCTTTTTGAATTTATTGTGAATACTCAACTTTAAAAAAGGGGGGCTTAATGCATCTGCGGCCTGGTTATCCATCCTCTAAGCCAGTGTTTTTCAACCATGACCCAAAAGTCGGTGGCAAGACTATATGAAAAGGTTGCAAGCAAACTTTAAAAATGCAGTTCCAGCCTGCAAAAGGCTGCTTGGGGCCCCTCATGCTCCACACCCTCCCCTGCCCCACACACTGGGGGGTTGGAGCCTGGGGGTGGGAGGCAAGGGGTTAGGACTGAGGGACACTGGGTCGGGACTGGCCGTTGATGCTTACAAATGGGTCCTGGTACAAAAAAGGTTGAGAACCACTGCTCTAAGCTACCAGGGAAGCGATTCTCCTACTAGATAGTCCACAGAACATTTGCTGGTTGCCCACACTACTTTTCCTTCAAAGACAGAAAAGTGCTATATGGTCTTTCTATATTTGTTTCTGCACAATAAAGGCACATCCAGGACTTTCCCTAGTATTTATTGAGACAGTGCTGCAGATGTCAAAGGGGTCCTATTAGAAGCAAAGGGAAACAGCCACGTGCTTAGGACCACGAAAAGCTTAGCCTGGAGGCAGAGACATGGCCCACACCAGGCAGGCACTTGTGCAGCCTGGGGAATAGCCTCGCTCCTTCCTCCTAAGTGCCAAGAAAGAACCCGACTGTGGTCTCCCAGCAGTCAGCTCCAGTGCTGCCAGGTGTATAACTATCATATTTGTACAATAATTTCAACCCTTGTTCAGTGTATGATCAATAACAGTAAAAGTGTTCAAAATGTACAATCATTTTTCAGGCAGCTAATTCATGCAGCATATGCAAAAGACCAGTTACTCTCAAGAGAGTCTTAACCGACTTTTGGGTTTGCTGTCAGCACTTCCTTACAACTTTATGCCTCAAAACAAAGATTTTTTATTATTATTATTATTATTATTGTGGCAGGGCACTGTGTGTGCCTGCCACTTTAAGGGCCTGGAGCTGGCAGCCTCCAGGTGCCTGATTAGGGCAGCCATTTTTAGACACAAGGGCTGCCTATATTAGCAGGGCAGTTTGGCTGCTGGAGGCCAGGCAGCAACATTGCCTGGCAGTAGGGTTGCTGTGAATGAGCTGGAGGTAAGGGGGAGCTGCGAGGGGATGATTAGGAGGCTCCTAGTCCTAGGCATGACCTGAAACTGCACCCTGCCGGAAGCGGGTGGTCTGGTGGGGCTCTCAGTGGCGTGGGAGCCCCCGGGAAATGCCAGGCCAGTTACCACCCCAGTGGAAGGCGGGTTGGGGCGCCTTAACCCCTTGCCCCCACCACTGGGTGGGTAACCCCATGTGTTGTTTGAGGGGCCTGGGGGGGCTGGTGTTGTGAGAGGCCCAGAGGGCGGACCCTGAGAGAGAGAGAGATGGACTAGAGACCCGGCCCGAATGAGATAGTACCCTTGACTGGCCCATGCTGGGGCCAGGACCAGGATGGTCAAAAGGGCCAGGGGCCCACTGTGAGGGACACCCAAGAGCCAGGGGCCTGGGGTCCTGACCGCCCTGGAGGTGGGCCAGGGCCAGTTAGCTGAAGGTCCCAGGGGGACCACACCTGAGAGGGGAAAATGGCTTTGGGGGGGGCTTGTAGCCCAGATGAAGGTGGAGAGGCCGCCTGATCAGGAGGGATCATAGAGGGGTCCTGTTTGGGTGATTCTGGGGCCCCAGGGTGGGGGCCGGAGGAGATGAACATCAAGATGCCATCAGCAAGGCTTGGGCTGCAGTATTGGGGAGGTAGGAGCTGCAGAGAGCACCCCCTGGCATTGGGGCATCAAATGGGCAGCCTCCCGCTTAATTGACATCTTAACTGAACCAATTATCATCAAAGGCGTGGTGGGCGAGATAGGCCCCCCTGTCACTCTTCTTCTTCTTCTTTCTTCTTCTTCTTCCAGGTCAAATTAGCCAAATCAGTTCCAAATCCTATTGACCAAGCAGAACTCAATTGTTCAAGTCCATGTGGTGCTACCACCGGTAAGTATCCTCCATCCCAGCTCTTCAGATAGGGTGCCTGTCACTGGGTTATGTGTAGGCCCAAGCCCGGAGATCTTAGGGTTTAGACACCCCTGTGGGGGTTTCTTTGTTGTGTTTTTAATTTTCTGTATTCCCAGTCAAATTGGCCAAATCAATTTCAAATCCATGAGTCAGTCCAAAACCATAAGTGGCCCTACCACTGGCAGCATCCCCCACCCCCAAGCGGGGCTTCACATATACCCAAACCCCTTGGTGGGCATCCTACTTGCAGGCCCATGTCCGGAGGCTTGGGGCTCAGATGCCCCTGAGCTTTGCCTGCCCCCAACTGCAAGACTCCAGGAGCAAGCCAGGGAGGAGTCCAACATTTCCATAAAGTGGGCATAAAGCCAAGGTTAATTATGCATGACCTATGCAGGTACTATCCCATGCCAGCAGAGTGGTTTTCCCCAGGAGTGACTAGGAAGCCACCATGTTGATCATGAAATTTTCCTAGATAAACATAGGCTATGCTTGATCTCAGCCTTCAAGAGGCTGAAAAGCAGTAAGAACAGGTCTCCGCTTGATCTGAGCCAAAATGCCGAGACTCAAAATAAAGAAACACTTCAACTTTGATGACCCAGTTCTCACTCACTCACTGGTGAGTTACAACGAACAATATAAAGTCAATAATAAGGCTTATTTGCATGCTTTTGTAGATATATTCGCATATTTTTCAGCAAATACGATCGTTTTTGAGCTCCCGATACCATAATGTCATGTTTAGAGACCTGGCAAGGCCGGTCAGCCCCTGCCTCACACCGCTCACCGCCCGGCGGGGAAGGCAGCACCAGGGACCCTGCTGCTCTTCCAGCCAGGGACCCACACCTACCCCGAGCAGCATGTGATCAGGAAGCGGGAGGGCGCGGCCCGCGCTGCCCACAGAAATGCCGGGACAGCGCCTTCCGCTTCCCGTCTCCCGGGGAACCGCCCGCACTCACCCGCGGCTCTTCGAGGCCACACGAACCCCTCGGCGCAGGTTCCGCTGCCCTCCACGCACACAGACCACTGGCTGGGCTGGGAAGAGGGAATCGCCTGAGGAAACCGCTCATTGCCTCTAACTGAGGGAGGGCACCAGATGGGGGGAGGGGGAATACTTCCGCCAGAATACAAGATGGCCGCCCAAAGCCAAGCTAAGCTTGCCCTCGCCTAGCACAGCGCCCAGACTCACGGGTCAACATCCTGCCCGAACCCAAGATGGCCGCTTACGCCTTCAGTAGGCCCCGTCAGTCGCCTCGTTCTCAGAACCACAGCCGCCTCCCGTCCGCTCGGAAACGGCAGTGCCCAGAACCAAGATGGCCGCCGCAGCGTCGTTACCGCGGAGCCGGACACCTGTCCAAGCCCAAGATGGCGGCGCCCGCTGGCGTGAGGCTCAGTGCGCGTCACGTGACGGGGGTGTGACCCGTGTCCCGGCGGAAGCGTGAGGGACCCAGCGGGGAGCGGGGGCTGTTGGCGGCCGCGGAGCGTGGGCTGGCGCGCCACTGGCTGTCGGGGACAGAGAGCAGGAGACACGGCTGTCACCACGGAGCCCGCCGGTACCACCACGGCGGCCGCCGCCGCTTCTCGGGCCGGGGGCGCTGGGGACCAGGCGCCCTCGCTGCCTCCGCCCCCGCCGAGGATGCCGCGCAGGAAGGTAAGGGAGGCCGCGGGGGCGGGAGAGGTTCTCGGGGAGGGGGCAGGGAGCTCGCGGGGGCTTGCTCCCGCGCCCTCCCCCAGCGAACTTTCCCCCAGAGGCACAAAAACCGGGGGAAAGGAGCGGCCTTCAGCCCCCCGCACCCGCCTCTCTTGCTCCCTGAATGGCTCCCGCTGGCGCTCGCTGGGCCCCGATTGGCTAACATTGCTGTCAGTCATCTCCCCCCAACGGTTACCTTTCTCCCTCCCCCCGCTGGAGGCTTGTTCCACCTCCTTGCGGTTCTGATTGGACAAGAGAACGAAGGACCTGCGTGTGTTTGGCTTCGCCTAATGGCCTAGCTGGGCGCTGATTGGCCGGCGCGGCTGCCACTCCCCGCCCCCACGAATACCTCCCGCGCGTGCCTTGTTTCTCGTGTTCCTTTCCCCCAGCCGCCCCGAATGGATGTTTCTGTGGGAGCGAGGTTCTAGCTGATAGGCTGGGGCAGCCCGTCAGTCACGCCTTAGAGCCGCGCCTCGCCTCTGTGGGAGTTCTTATTGGAGGAGATTCCTCTCGGCCCCTCCCCTCTCTGATGGTGATTGGTTGATGTAGAGGGAGGGAGGCAGCTCTACAGCCGCGGGCGCAAAACAAAGCGGCGAGGGCACCTGCCCTCCCAGCAGGGCGACCCCTGTCGCCTGGGCTGCCGCAGCCTTCTCCCTCCCTCCCTGTCCCAGCCCAGCCAGGCTCCTCTGGCCTGCCTGGCCCCTGCCCCAGCGGGACAAGGGCAGCAGTGACTTGTTCCCAGCTCCTAGTCCTGGGCTTGTCCTGTCCTCTCTTTGCAGATCAGCATCTGCCTTGCCCTCACTGTGGTGCACCCACCTGCCTGTCTGTGCCAGGACAGAGCGGGGCTTTTCCAGGCCCAGGGGAGGTGCTACTCCCAGGCTGTCCCAGGTTTTCATTTCAAGTGAGGCAACCAGTGCCTTAACAGTTCACAAGACTTCCTTCCAATGACACTGGTGCAACCTGTTTGTATTGGACAACTTTGCAGAAGTCTGGAGTTACTGGTGCCGCTTCCCCTCAGCTTGTGTTTCTCATGCTGAAGGGAGGCTTTTCTCCAAAACTATCTGCCTGCAAAAAGTTTGAATCTGTTCTATAACATTCAGGCCCCAAACGTTCTTGTGTTAGTAGGAATAGTATTGAAGTCTTAACTGTTCTCTTGCTAATGTGGTGCTGCAGAGGAACGCCGGCAGTAGTTCAGATGGCACTGAAGACTCCGATTTCTCTACTGATCCTGAGCATACAGACAGCTCTGAAAGCGATGGCACATCTCGGCGATCTGCCCGTGTGACTCGTTCCTCAGCCAGGCTGAGTCAGAGCTCGCAAGGTAATGCCTTTCTTCTACATCCCCCAAATGACACTTGGCGAACTGTCTCTATGTTCTCAGCTTGATATGCTTATACATTTTAGGGAATCTGTTCCTTCAATTTGGCTAACCTTCATTTGCTGGTTTTTTTTTTCTCATTGAGTATAATAATACTAGGGTGAGGTACAAAGACATTGCAATGAAGCATTATCTAAATTAGGCAGCATAATCTAGCATTTTAAACTGGGGTTGGAAGTCAGGATTCCTGTGTCCTGGTTTACGGTAGTTAAAGGGGGTGGGAACTGAACCATCGGTTCTATGCTTAGCTTTGCTACTCATTTTCTGAGACCTTTAGAAGGTCTTGTAGCCTTTCTTACTAGAGTTCCTTAGTGCATAATGAATACTATCTACATGATAGAGGCTTTGTGATGTTTAATTTTTGAAGTGTTTAGAGATTGTTGACAGTTGTTATCCAGAAGCGCAAAATATTTGCATGAAGCATGTGTGATAAATCTCTGAAGTCACCTTTTGGTTATTTTTATAAATAACTTGTTTATTTGAAAACCTAATTTTCGAAACCTCTGAGCAGCTAATCATGCTTTGGAGTCCATTTTCTGCTAAAACTTCACTGTAACTCCAGTCCTGAAAACTGTACCTTTAGGCCTTTTCTCTAAAAACGTAGCCTGGTAAAATCACTTGGCTCTTATAGACTGTGTTTGTCACTAAAGTCCCCAAATAACTAAACCAAAAGTAAAATGTGGATAGTTGAGGGCTTTTACGCTGTACAAATATGAAATTTGGATGGTTGTGTTATGGGTATGAGATGTTTTCATATCGGTGGAGTTTGTTGTACAACAGTATGTATCCAGCATATTGTCAATCGAGTTCATGTTGCATGTTTTTACGTTTTGACATCCAGATTGTTAAAGTGGGGTTGTTGTGCTTTTCCACCTCCTCATTTTCTTGATCTGAGAAATTTTCTTGGCTGATAGTAATTACTGTAGAAATTAAATTCCATCTGTTTGTCTAAAAAGAGAAATGGCAACAAAGGGGTAAGATCTTCTGATTCCCTTGTTTTATCTGTAGGCTTTGCTAAGAATTTTTCAGACAGTTTTCTTCCAGGTAAGAAATTCTTGTAGTTCTTGACCAGAGTTTTTTAGAAAATAAAGTTATTTTTGATTAGCATCTGAGGCATCCCTGTTTTTCAGCAAAAGAGAAGCACTTTTTAAAATAATTTGTTATCAACTCCAAAGTGGTAACAGTTCAAGACTACATACAGGGTGTCAGATACTGGCATGTGCCAAAAGCAGCTGTAGTACATGCAAAGCCAGTCTAAACAGTATTGATTCTCATTCAGACCTGCTGAATTGGAATTGTTTAGTAAGTTCTGGATAAATAACGGGAGTTCAGAGTAGCTTGATTTTGGTCCTTCATTCTTCAGACTGTTAGTAGGTCTTAGTGGCTGTAAAATTGTCAAAGAATGTGTCTCGGAATAATGAAACCAATCTCAATGCCAGTAGATACACCTGCGGTGTGGAGGTGAGGATTGCGGTTGGCATCAAGCTGTCATATATTATTTGATAAGACCCAGACCTATAGTACCAAGAATTTGACTTTGGGATCAGATGAGAGACAGATCTGTGACTCATGGTGGTTGCCCTGAATGAAGCTGACAATTGGATTAACTGTTGTTCACTTAGATTCCAGCCCTGTTCGGAATCCACCATCATTTGGGACAGAGGAGCCTGTATATTCTACCAGGAGGGTGACACGCAGCCAACAACAGCCCACTCCCGTGACTCCAAAAAAATACCCACTCCGACAAACTCGCTCTTCTGGATCAGAAACTGAACAAGTGGTGGACTTTTCTGATAGAGGTATGGAGGGAGGGGAGGTATGGCTTTAAGTGCCTAAAGATATTCCATAAGCTTTGTGCCTTGTCTGTGAGGGTTGGGGGCAGTTTCCTAAGCGTGTAGGTTTGAGTTATGAGTGTGTTGTCTGAATTCACGTAAGACATTTCTTTGTAAATTTCCATTTGTGCAAAATTTGTAACATCTCATCTTTTATTCAGACACTAAAAATGCGGCAGATCACGATGAATCTCCCCCTCGCACCCCAACTGGGAATGCCCCTTCTTCAGAGTCAGACATCGATATTTCCAGTCCCAATGTGTCCCATGATGAGAGCATTGCCAAGGATATGTCCATGAAGGATTCTGGAAGTGACCTTTCTCACCGCCCCAAACGCCGCCGCTTTCATGAAAGCTACAACTTCAACATGAAGTGTCCTACTCCTGGCTGTAACTCTCTAGGTAAATCCTTGTCCAAGAGAAGTCTTCTTTCCCTTCCTGCTGTTGAGATTGGTAGCCTGCATTTCACTGGGTGGAGTTGCATATTTGAGCATCATGGGTTTTACTGGGAATGGAATACAACAACAGGTACATGCTTTCAGGGATGTTTTTTGGCCAGGAGCAGTTGGGGTCGTGAGGATGGAGAGACAGATTGATGACATCATAGGACAACACAATAGGCTCATTTTTTGTTTTTTCCAAGCATCTCCTTCTGCATCCAGATCAGTGAACTGCTTCTCTCATGCTATATCGCTGTTAAAAAGCCCTGAATTTATTGCTGAATTCTACGGAGAGCTGGCTTCGGAAGGTCAACGTGTTGAAGTCTAACTGTAAAGTCAGCAGTTGAAATCCAGTTAGTAAAGTCTTGTCACCTGATGTTTCTTTGGACTATGTGGCAAAAGTTTTCAATCTTGCTTAAGTTCCCAAGTACAAGAACACCAGTTGCCCCTTGCTACATCTCACTTAAGCAATTGAGTGAGCTAGGGAGTCTGAAAACACCTTACTAACCTGAAGTAGTCTCTGCCAGTTAAAACTAAGGCAGGATAGTGTTGGTGAGCTTTGTTCTTCTGTTGTCAGAGATGAATCACTTAAGCTGTTTTGCTGGCATCATGCAATATTCTGGGCAGCAAATCAGTGGAACTTTTTGTTTCAATCCTTGTAAATTCTGTGGCATTCTTGCATGCAGTTGGGGAGACAAAAGAACAAGGAGAAGAGATGTGAAATTCAAAGACAGAATGATCCATCAGCAAGTAGATGGGTCATTAATATAGGGATTTGGGGAAAACGTTGAGTCCTTCAGTTAAGCTACCAATCGCTATCAGAAGCACAATACTTGGAGGAAAGTTGATACAAGCCAATAGTATATCAATCCAGTTGAGGAGGGGCACGTAGATTTGGGGTTAGAGTAAGAAGAGCCTCCATCTTGGCCCCTTATGAGTTATCACAAAGCATGTGATTTGTCTTATCCTCTTATAAGGATGATGCATTTAGTTAGCCCTTTTTTTGAAAGGCAGGCACATGCTATGCTGTCTTTGGGTTTTTTTGTTGACTTAGAAGCTGAAAGGTTTTTTTTCTGATTCTCCACAGGACACCTGACAGGGAAGCATGAGAGACACTTTTCCATATCAGGGTGCCCACTGTATCATAATCTCTCTGCAGATGAGTGCAAGGTAACATCCCTTCAACTTCTGTTGCCCTTCTGCTCCCATACTATAAAATGTTGAGACCTGTTTATGACTTGGAACTAAACTTAAAATTTGTTGTGCTCCAAGTGTCACTGTATCTGTTAACTGCATTCTGTGATCTGAAATTCAAAAAGGAAATCAAAAAGGCTTATATGCTTTTAGAGCAGTTTGTTGTGATACTAGTTATGTTCAAATTTCCAGGTGAGAGCGCAGAGTCGGGATAAACAGATTGAAGAGAGGATGCTGGCTCACAGACAGGATGACAACAATAGGCATGCCACCAGACACCAGGTAGGCATTCACTCTGTAGTGATGGCTGGCCATGTAAAGGGACGAACCTTAGACTGGGGCTTTGGGCTTTTGTGACAAGTACTAATGTTCTTCTTTTGAAATTGGCTTTTGTGCTGGGTCTTAGTACTCTGTTACTCATCACCTGCAGTTTGTTTGGTCATGAACAAGTCATTGGAGCAGTCCAAAGTTGCTGGTAAGCACATGGAAAGTGGAAGGCTATAAGAGTTATGGGAAATGTCAGCCAGTGTCAGTTAAGAAGTGTCTAGAAGAACTTATTGCTGTCCTGAGCATTTATTTTGTATTTGTGTTGTGAAATAAGGCAGGGCTGTCCAGCTTCTAAGTGGCTGGGGTTACATCGTGCTCTGTGTGCTGCACCAGGGCGAGCCACAGAACATACCCCACTCCCCTTTCCTCCAGTGCACTTGCATGTCTGCACCCTGCCTACTCCCTGCTGTACTGCATGCCCATGATTGCTGCACAGGCATCCCACCACTACACCATACACTTGGAACCCCTCTCCCCCCCAATCCTTTGCTGTATTGCTTGCCCCAGACTCACCACCAGCTTCTAACACAGATTCTTAGGGTACTGACAGGAGGAAGCAGCAGCTGGAGGAAAGACTGGGAGCCTGGATATTCTGACTGCTATGCAGCCAGAGTGGTGGAAGAATCAGCAGCTGGACAGGTGCCACAATTTAAGTCCTTGCTAGTTGGACAGCCCTGAAATAAAGGATAGGTATATTTCTGTAACAATGCATAGATCAATTTGCCTTTTACAGAATGAAAAGAAGTGTTTCTGTGAGATTATACTTTATTAGCTCAGGAGACTTGGGTTCAAATGCAGATGAGTCTGTTTTTAACATGTTGGAGTTCTTTTGGAGCGAACACTTATCTACATGATACAAGTAACAGGAGACAAGATACAGCTTTTCATGTTAAGACTGAGGTGTGATGACACAGGTGCTGGAAAGTTGGGGAACTTATGCCAACTCTTCTGTTTTTTCCAGGCACCAACAGAGAGACAGCTACGATACAAAGAGAAAGTAGCAGAGCTGAGGAAGAAAAGGAATTCTGGACTGAGCAAGGAGCAGAAAGAGAAGTACATGGTATAGGACCATTTACTCTAGTTTCCTTTCATCTGGAATGAAACAAATCAATGGGCTGCTGAGCTAACAAGGCTGTAAAAGCCAACAGTCTTATGTTGGTGTAGATTTCTTTTTTCTTCCTCTTTCCCCCCTCCACTTTCCTCCCTCCCCCTTCTTCCCTCCAAGGTCCTAATATGTGATTATTTTAGGAACACAGGCAAACATATGGCAACACCAGGGAACCCCTGTTGGAAAACTTGACCAGTGAATATGACCTAGAGCTTTTCCGAAGAGCACAAGCACGAGCCTCTGAGGACCTGGTAAGACTCATAACCCTTAGCATGTCTGAAAGCAGGTGCCTTTGTTCAGAGAGCTGAACATCCCTGGGGCCTGGAGTGCTAATAAAATGAAAGTTCACAAGAATAGGAAATCTGTCATTCACAACCCATGTTGTTCAGTAGAATACAGGATGAAAGCTAAGAACCAAGTAATTGAAGATACGCCAGGAATGATTCTGCCTGTATTTAGTTTCAACAAATATAGGGAAGTCAGAGGTGTCAGATATCCAATGAGTTTGCCCAGAGTACAGCTGGAGCTGTGCATCTCTAATATTGGATGCTGCAATAACTCTGAGGAGAGGGAATGAATTGGTGCCAGTTCTATTTAACAGGTGCTTGTTCTCAGCTTTCATCATGTTGATAATCAATGTACCCCTGGGCAGAATGGTCAGCAGCTTCATACACGGAAAGCAGAGCTAAGAATTGATCGAAGTGAGAGATTTTAAATGCTGTGTCATAGACCAGCCTGACAGTATGCTGCTGTTGTGGAGTGGAGTTTGCCTTAAGATCCCTAGATTTATAAAGTAGTATTAGCGTGATAGTATAATTGTGATGGTCCAGGAATTATGCAAGAGGCAAGAATTTGTTTGGGTAATAACTTTTATTGGACCAACTGCATAATTGGAAGACTTAAACCTTCAGATTGGAGGCACACCGATATATCGGTCCATATCATTTCGGTCCCAATAAAAGGAAAATTGACATTATTGGCAATCAGCTTTTTTTGGCTGATGTGGCTGATTTTTAATGTCACTGATAAATGTCGCGTGCATGCATGCAGCATGCGCATGGCCAGGAATGAAGTCCAGCAGTTTGGAGAGCAGCATCCAGCTGGTAAGTCTGGGGGGCGGGGAAGAGGCGTGGAGGAGGGAAGGGGGTGGCTGACTCAGGCCCCCATGGTGAGGGAGGGTGTGGGGCTGGGGTGTGGTGTGGGACGGAGATGCGGGTGGTTCGTTTGGGGGGGGTGGTGCAGAGGGGACAGCTTCCCACCCTGCGTGTAGCCTCGGGAAAGGCATAGGGGGGCATGTGCCTCAGCTTTGTGTGGGGCAAGGGCGGGCTACCTGCTGCCGGTGCGGAGCTGGAGATAATGCTGGCCTTTTCCTGTCTCAGCACTGCCCCTGCCCACCCACCCTGCCCTGCCTGCACCCACCCCAATTGCAACCCTGACCCAGCCCCACTGCCAGGAAGAGGCTGGCACAGCTCCTGGCCCCAGTCCACAGTGGGCAGCCCACCCTTGCCCCACGCAGAAATCTGGGGGGCACATGCCCCCTGTGCCTCCCCTGGGGTGCTCACAGTGGTAGGAGGAGCCATCACCCGCCTGCCCGCCCCAGACATGCCGCCTGTGGCTCTGTCTTGCACCCCACCTTGCCCTAGCTGGGCAGCCCCAGCCCCATGCCTTCCCTCACCATGGGGGGCCTTGATGTGCGCCCCCCACAACTTACTGGCTAGGCTGCATATCAGCTACCAAGTTGGTATCGGCCGATATGCCTGGTTAATAAATGACCGTCAGCATCGGCCAAAAGAATCTTCGTCGGTGCACCCCTACTTCAAATACAAGACATTTCTTTCAGGCCTGAGGAGAAAGCCAGTATAGCAATATATTGCCAAGGGCTTCCTTAGGTGCTCTTGAAGGGTACCTCCATCCCAAAAGTTGACCCCAGAAGCAATTCTGATGGTTTGAAGCTAACTGCACATGTGCAACCACAACGAAAAATGCCCCTTTCCATGTGGGCAAGGAAGAAATATTGCTTTGAAATAGATGATGTAAAGCAGAGGACCGTACTGTTGGAACACTGCTTTTTCAGCCCCTATTCAAGCTACACCTGCTTGGGTCAATTCTGAAGACCTTATTGGATGAAAGGAAAGTTTCCCGATTAAACTGATTTGCAAACTGGAGTGTGAAAGAAGGTAAAGAAAGTGGATGCTTATTGAGGGATGGAATGTAATTGGTGTAAGCTCATCTAGTGTAAAGGTCTGGAGAACCTTCTAGTGTCCAAGCATGAGAAGCATGTTTAGATATTTTCCATCCCCTAGCTTAGCTTGACAAAAACCTCTTCTTGGGGATCTTCCTTCTGTGTAGAGTCTCTGAAAGAGATTCTGAAGCAGGAAAATAAGTGGGTTGTGTGCATGTGTGCGTTTTTCCTGTTTAATTAATCTCCTACTCCTTCCCCTATTTAGGAAAAGTTGCGGCTTCAAGGCCAGATCACAGAAGGCAGTAATATGATTAAAACAATCGCCTTTGGCCGCTATGAGTTGGATACCTGGTACCATTCTCCCTATCCAGAGGAGTATGCTCGACTGGGACGTCTCTACATGTGTGAGTTCTGTCTCAAGTACATGAAGAGCCAGACAATACTACGTAGGCACATGGTAAGGCCTGGTTGGTAGTTATCTAATTACTGAGACTTAGATATTGAACTCATGTTGGTGTCATTTCAAAAGACAAGTGCCTGTGTGCTTCAGTAGTCCATCTGATAGCCTGCCCTCCTAAGTTGAGAAGGCTTTGCAGTTTTGAAAGGAAGACCATTTTTATGACATTGTCTTGCTCTCTGGGCCAGCTGGATGACCCTTGTGGAATAGAAGCCGAGGCTTGCAATCTAATTTATTGTAATTGAGTAGGATTGAATGTTCCTGCTAAGAGCATTTATTCTGCATGTAGCTATTGATACACTACCTGTCCTCAGAACATCTGGTGGAGATATAATATGACCATAACTTTAACATCATTCTCCTGCAGGCAAAATGTGTGTGGAAACATCCGCCAGGTGATGAAATTTATCGCAAAGGCTCCATATCAGTTTTTGAAGTAGATGGGAAAAAGAACAAGGTAACTAATTGTGCTGATGGATCAGTCTTGATTCTGGAGATCACCGCTCATATGCACTGTGCATGTCAGTGCCTTGTACTGAGGGGAAGCAGGAGATGGTACTCTTAGATACTCAAAGGGGTGCCAGAATTTGTCCTGGCCTTTCTTGCAGTGCTGGCAATTTTATTATTTTGCTGATGATGATTGTCTGCGCCTCTCTTGTGGTGGCAGTTCAGTTTTCTCCCCTGTCCTCTGGTTTACGTACCAGTATTGGCAGAGTAGCCTTTTAGTTGTAGATCAGACTCCCTTTCTGAAGATGAATAAGAAGCCTCCATGCTTGGTCTCTGTGGATCATCACTGTCCAGGTTTTATTCAGTTGTGAATGCTCTAAACCAGTGATGCTCAACCTTCTGGCCCCATAGATTGGATGAATGGCATGGGGATGGCCCACGGGCTGGATAATGTGACCCCATGGGACAGAGATTGAGCACTACTACCCTAAACATCATTATAGCATTACAGGAGTATAGAGTATGCTAGCTTTTTGCTAGTTAGAGCCTCCACTGTTGAATGGGAAGAGTAGGGCACTAGCATTAGCAGGTATAGCTGTGATTTGATTAGTGGCAGGGTTTCTCTGAAATGGCTACCCATGATTTGTCCCAGAGGACCTGCCTAATTTAGTTATAAACTGAGAATTTGGGTATTTGTTGTTATGCCTCAGTGGTGTAGTTTTGAGAATGTGTTAACAGCAGATGTGCTTCATTTTATTGCAATTCCCATACATTCAAAAGTGGGATTCTCATTGATGCTGCATCCTGACAGCTCAAATATGTTACTGTCCCTTTTGCTTCTAGATCTACTGCCAAAACCTGTGTCTGCTGGCAAAGCTTTTCTTGGACCACAAAACTCTCTACTATGACGTTGAACCCTTTCTCTTCTATGTCATGACAGAAGCTGACAACACTGGCTGTCACCTGATAGGGTATTTCTCCAAGGTTAGTTGAAATACAATACTAATATTTCACTGGAATAGATTTAAGACTAAGGTCATCAGCATGAACTCTCGTGTCTACGTGCAAGTCCCAACCTTCAAAGGGCAGGCATAAAATATGAGCTCTTCCTGGAAGCAAAGCTAAATTACAAAAAGCTGTAAGATATTTTGTTAGAGTACCTTCATGGCCATGTTATAGTTTAATGGCTAATAAAGAAACAAACCTGAAGCCACTTTGGTGTCAGGAAGTTCACTGCATGTTGTCAATGTGCCCTGATCGTGATATACTTGTTGCTTGCATGGATCTTTTGCATGGATCTGATAGACTTCCTCTATGTTCTTGCTTCCAGGAGAAGAATTCTTTCCTCAACTACAATGTATCTTGCATCCTGACGATGCCTCAGTACATGAGGCAGGGTTATGGCAAAATGCTCATTGACTTTAGTAAGTATAGGGGGAAAATTATGGAAGAATCCTTCAAAAGCATCTGCACTGAGGCATACTGTCTTCAGGAGGTCAGATGTTCTGTCTCACATTCAGGAGCAGAGATGCACAAATCTATAGGATATGATCAGTTAAAGGAAAGCTTGCACATACTGCATCAGTCCTCCAAGCTGCCAGAATAGTTCTTTGGCACATGCTTTTGCTCGTACATCTGCCGGTAGGTCTATTGAACAAATGCATTAAAAACAGCTAATCAAGGGAAGGGTTTATAGCAGTAGTACTCAACCCCCAGGGCTGTATCATCTGAGCCACAGGGCTCCCCACAGGTCTAGAAATCTGGTGACAGAGAAGTGGTGGCAGCATTAATTGCAGCAACTCCCCTGCTGGCAAGTTTCTCAACCTGTGGAGAGCACCACAGGCCAAATGACAGAGCCCTTTGTGCCAGTTTGTGCTGGGTTGGTCCATGGCTGGTTCCAGTGTCTGGAGATAGGCCAGGGCTGGCCTGCAGCTGGATCTGACTGGGCCCGCATGCTGGATCTCGCCCATAGACTGACCCTACACACTGACCCCGCTTGCGAACCAGCCCTGTGTTCCTCATCCAGCTTGCGGGCTGGAAGGCTTAGCACCACTATAGCATGGTTCAGATGCAGGTGGTATCACTCCCCTAGAAGAGAATATGGGCCAACAAAGTCTCCATGTTTGCCTCTTGTAGCTTTTTCCAAGTATATCTCAGATGGGACTGATATTAGTGCAAGTCAGCAAAATTCACTTGATGTCATAATAACTGTACATCAGCAAACTGGCTGCAGTTGATCTGTTTCAGTGAGAATGGATTTTTGGGCCTGCTTTTTTCCAGTGGTGCATGGAAGAACATTGTTTAGGAGACTTTTGCTATCCCCAAGAGTCTAATTCTTAGTGAACTGGTATAATACTTATTGTGTTGCTTTTTGGGCATCATTATTGGTATAATAGTGTATAGTAGTGATAGATGGAAGGAAATCTCATTGTGTTTGAGCAAGTATGTTATGGTTTCCTCACAGGCTATTTGCTGTCCAAAGTGGAAGAGAAAGTTGGCTCCCCAGAGCGCCCTCTGTCTGACTTGGGCCTTATCAGCTACCGTAGTTACTGGAAGGAAGTTCTTCTTCGTTACCTGCATAACTTCCAAGGCAAAGAGATCTCAATTAAAGGTGAGGTCTGGTTCTAAATGAGCTTGCAGTGTATTTGTTCAGAAAGTTTTGGTGCCTCTTGTTCTCCACCCTCTTTCCCAAATCTGTGGCAACTGATGTTTGGTCAGTTTTCTCCTTCAGAAGCAAGTTGCTAGAAGTGGAAGTGGTAACATCTAGAATGCAACTGGTTGGGCTTTACTCTGCTGTCTGAGCCCACAACCATCTTTAAGCCTAGGCTTGGTTTTGAAGACTCATAAAGCATTCTTAAATAAACGCATTTTTATTTATAAAAAGAAAAAGAATGAGCAATTAGACTGAAGCTCCAGTTTCAAGCTAATGCCATTCTAAATAGCTCTTGCACATGTCTCCATAAAATGCAAGATTGAGGCTGAATGTGAGAGACACCGGCCAAAGTGTTACACTTATGGACCTATGCACATCTTGATATGCATACAGCAGACACATGGACTGCTGCGTAACTCATGTCCATGTATTCAGAACACAACCTTTTTAGTTGCTCCATTATCCAGCATAAGTGATCAGTATTTTCTCAGTTCAGAAGGTAGTATGCAAAAGCTGTTTCATTGCAGAGAGATTTCCACGCTTAAAATATTCAGAATATGTACACGTCAGTTGGTGTTCTTGCCATTCCTTTGGCATCTGAGGTTCTTTCAGCAGTTTCCCCCCAATTAAGCATCTCTGCCTCTCTGTAAGAGATTCCTGTTTCACAGATGAGGAAACAGGTATGGAAGTGATTTAACTTTAAGTATACCAACAGCAGATAGGAAAGGACTCCTGGTGGCTAGTAGCTGACCTTACAGTATACTACATACACTGCCTCTATAATCATTGTTGACCATGTTGAACCTGCTAGATAAGTTTTAGTATTAAACTTAAAAAGTTGGTGTACATGAAGTATTATGTGAGTATAATTGAGGGATTATGCATAAAACTTGTCACTTAACTGAGCAGTGGTAGGCTGCTTCAGTCTTAAAGGAATACCAAGGTGATTTTTTTTGCTTCTCTTTCAAATAGATTGTGTTACTGTCTTGCAGAAATCAGCCAGGAAACAGCAGTGAACCCTGTTGACATTGTTAGCACTCTGCAGGCACTTCAGATGCTCAAGTACTGGAAGGGAAAACACCTGGTCTTAAAGAGACAGGTAAGGTTGCTGTGTGTTTTTGTTTTGTTTTCCTGATGATCAGGCATGCCCTTTTGCTTTCTTATAGTTTAGCTCTCTCTGATATTATAATATCCCATAGACCTACGATAATTTATATTTAGTGTGCCTCATGTAGGCTTTTCTTGCATGTTGATTATAGGAGGGAATATTCTAATACTAAAGGATAACACAGTACCTGATGAAGTCTGAGGTCTGTTCCCAGGCTGGTTCTTGACTAGCATAGAAATCTGCTGTGTTTTTGACTCTTCTCTGCTATTTCTAACATAGAATCACATTGATCATCTTAAGTAGATTGTAAATCCCCAAACGATAGTCATCTCCCTTCTCTGCTGTTATTTATATCCTTCTTCCTAGGGCTTGTCCTACTGCTGAAGATAGCCTGATCTGTGTTTATCAGAGATTCCTAGACAGCCATGCGAACTGTTCTATTTATGTAGTGAGGTGACATCATCTTGTGGTGCTAAGCAGACAGTGGGCAGATTATGTTTAGAGTGCTGGACTTGCATGTTTGTCATCCCATGGATTGTTTTCTCTTATTGAAGACTTTGGTTTAACCTTCCCTTTCATGCTCTCTTCCTCAGGATCTGATTGATGAATGGATAGCCAAAGAGGCAAAAAGATCGAACAGCAATAAGATAATGGATCCCAGCTGTTTGAAATGGACCCCTCCTAAGGGAACTTAACTACCTGCTACTCCCGAAGCCAGTGAACCCCAGCAGTAGGAAATACCCTAGGGATCTCTGTTGTATCTGTTGCTGTTGTGATTGGCTGGTACAGTATCCTCCAGGAAGATCAGTTCCCCTTGGTACTGTTCTGGCCCAGACCTTTTGTGCACACCGCAGACGCTGGTTCTGAGGAACTTATGTTTCGGCCTCAATGAGGTTGCAAGGATTGGATCTGTATAGGACCCAAATGAAGCTACTAGCAAAACTGGCCCAAGGAGTTCTGATATCTGGTACTGTACCTGTCCAGTCACTGGTTCTACCCTCACGTTCTTATTCCAATGAGGTTGTGTTGTGTCCTATAATCTGTCTCTTCCTTCCTGAAGGCTCCTTGCCCTCTGAGTAATGAACGTGACCATTTCTGTGGCCTTTGAACAAGGTCTAATGCTTGATTGGGAAAAATGTGTAAGTGCATCCAGACAGGTTTACCAACACGTTGCCATTGCACTCATGTTAGCATTTTAAACTAGACCTGACTGATAGACTGCCCAGTCCCAGGTATCAGTTATTTTCAAGGAGATAGTAAGCCACTTATTTAAGCAGTGCTTCCCACTTAATGTAGCAGTCTTAATTAAAATAACAAATTGTAAATGGTGCTGTACATTCTGAAGCTTTCACAATTTCCATCTGTTACCATTAATGTTATTATCCAGGAGTCAAGATTAATAGTGCAAGGCACCAGGATTTGATATGCTTTCACAAAATAGTCCTCAGTGAGCTCCCCTCAGGTTAGCACAGTACCATGTCAATTACCCAGTCTTCCTAAGTCAGGTATCTGTTTAGCCTCTTCTGGAGCTGATGGTTTCCTTTACACACAAAAAATTACCAGTTTAGTGCATTTCAATGTAGACATTCTCCCCAAAAGGGTTTTTCCTTGAATTGTAGCTTTTCTTTTTGAAATCTTTTCTTTCCATATACTAAGATAATAAAATGTTAATTTTAGAATGATTTTTGTTAACCTTGTCCAAACTGCCACAGAAAGTCTACAATGCAGTATCATCAGTTCTTGGATTGCCTATGGCATACATTCTGTGCATTAATGGCAGCTCCAGCTAGCTGTGTGGATGGTTTGCTTCTCTGAAGTGCACCCTGTTTGTCTTTGTAGAACAAAAAAGCTTTTTTATCCCCCTGTTCCCTCACCATCGTCACCAAAAGAAAACAAACCCTCCTGCAAACTGGCTTTCAAGTATAACCACTGTCCTCTAGCCACAAGTCTTCTGTCTGTCTCCAATATGATTAATAGGGAGGGGACAGGCTTGGGGTGAGTGGTGGCAGCATAATATGGTGCCCATTTCATTTAGACCCTTTCAGTGATTTTTTTTTTTTTTTTTTTTTTCTTTCATTGAGTAGTGTCTGAACTAAAGCATTTACAATGTACTGGTAGTTAGGGGCTATTTCTTATTAACCACTGATCCTTCCCAGTGTGGAGAAGTTCTCTGGTCCCTCTCGTGGTTGGCTGTGCCTCTTTTTGTCCCCTTAAAAATGTTATCTCAGTACAATGTATTTGTGTCTCTTTGGGCATTACTGAGGATTGTTGTCGCATGTCCTTGGCTCCTATATTGTAGCTGAAGACAAATGCTCTTGAAACTATCTGGCTGGGTGGATTTTTTTGTGGGGGTAGGGAAGAAGGCTGTTCTTGAAAAGAAGCTAAACCCAATTCCCCTGATGTGGTAGAATGTGCTACTCCTGTATATCTACTTCTCAATAAAGCATGTTCTCTGCTCAGTTTATGCCTTCCTTTTTGTTGTTCTGTAGGGGGGAGGGTTATGCTGACTTTTGCAGTTGAGCACAGCTGTCTTTACCATCCTAGAGAGAGAAACTAATTTTGATGTCCTTATGTCGTCAGGTGTAGTGAGGACTAAAGCAGACTTCAGGTCGACTATAATAGATAATACATGGTACAGGACATTTTTCATTTAGAATTGATTCTGGAATGGATATTGGTGAAAAGAACAAAATAATTCTGGTAGGCGGAGCAGCAGCCTAAAGACTATTTGGAATTCACGTACTTAATATAAAATCAGGACTGGAGCTGCCCTCCCAAAGTTCTTGAAAAAAGGAATGAGCTGCTCTTAAGAAATGACGGTCCTAAAATTTAGCCTTTGATCTTGCTGTGCTTGCGTGACCAGGCCTGCTTCTTTCCGCACTATGTGAGAATTTGGGGTAGTGAAGTCTTTGTCTTTTGAAGATCAAAAGTGTGGGGAGTTCAATACAGACCTCAAAGATTTTGAGCCTTTGCTACAATTTCTGACTCAAATTAGAACCTAATCAAAGTGTGCTGGCTGCATCTCCATAGACGCTCCCAGTAGGGAGCGAGTAGAGTTGAGTTCCTTCAGCTCAGCTTGGGATGAACATCTCTGCACTTAGTCTGTATTGCCATTGGGATCCAGTAGCTTTTCATCTGCTAATCCATGGAGAGGAAAGCAACAGTTTGAGGAGGAAAGCTTTGATCAGCAAGGAGAATATATGAGACCTTGATGATTAGTGCACTGCCGAATAGTTGTGCTGTCATTGCTTTCTCCGGCCTTAAAGAGTAACAAAACATCCTGTACCAGTGACGTGTAATGCTGCTGCCATAGAAAACAAGCATCACAGAACAAGATCAGTCTCTTGTCTGATCCAAAGGGCTAACTGAATTTTGTAGATAGACAGCTGTAAGGATGCTGCCTGTGTGGCCTGCATAGTGCTAGTCGCACAGTAGACACTTCAAATAATGCATCTAAATGGAGGTGAAGAGCTACAAAGAGTTAAAATAATGGTGCAGTTGTGTAACAACTGGCTTCCTACATCAGGTTATTACCAGAATTATTTTAAAAGCCTGCAAAGTGAGCTTTTCCTTCCTGTGTTCCAATTTTAATAAATGATAAAGCCTCAGATTTACATGAAGAAGTTCTAGAAATCCTGAAAAATGATTTGGTGAGGAAATAAAGAAAGATATCAGGTTAACAGCCCCTAGGAGTACACAGGGGTGTGGTAGCTTGTGTTGCCTATGGTGGCAGGGGAAGAAAGATGCTAACTTTGCCTGCTCATCTGATTGATTGTCGTGCCCCCCCCCAAAAAATGAAAGCACTGACTCCACAGCAACAACAATACATTTATACATGGCAGCAGTTCGAGAAAAGGAGATGGCAGCAAAGAGAAGGGGAGCGGGTGGCGTGAATGTGTTTCTCTGCTAATAATAATGCATCTGATGTTGCATGTTCAGGGTGTGTGTAGAAATGAGCAGGCATAATTACTGTAAGCTAGAGCTTGTGAAGGAATGGAGCAGGTGTTGGTCTCAGTAAGTGTCATGCTATGGCTCCCACATAGGACGTGGCTGGCTGCTGTCCCAGTCTTGCGTCGTCTCTGTAACAGAAGGAGGGAAATCTATGTGAAGAAAGTCTTTCTGCAGTAGTTCATGTAATGCATGTATTACTTGGATTCCATTATCTTCTCTTATGGTGGGCAGTCCTTTGGTTCTGATCAGAAGAATAGCCTTTGGTTAGGTACTAGGCATTGGGAAACCTGGGCTCAGTCTGTAGCTTTACTCCACAGTTCCTTTATCACCTTGGGCAAGTTACAGTTTCTCTTTAGGCTTAGTTTCTCATCCGCAAAACTGCATTCCTTTTTTCCTATCCATTATTGGTCTTATCTATTGGAATTAAAAACTCTTGTGGCAAGGATAATCTCTATATAGTTGTATAGTGCCTGGCATGTTGTACTAAACATCTGGCAGAAGGCAGGATAGATTTACACCTTTTAGACTGACTAAATTGGAGATCCATAAGATTTCATAAGCAGCAGCTTACTTCATCAGGTGTTAGGAAAAGACTGCTCTAAGCCTCTGGGCCTCAAATAGCTTTGTTTTCTGCTCCAGAATTAAGTAGGGTACAAAGGCAGAAAATAGTGAGGTAAATATTGATCTCTTCCCAAAATTATAACAAGCTACATCTTTGAAATACTCTATAGAAAATCTCTTCGTTGGAGGAACGTGGCAGGAAAGGGATGAAGGCTCAGATAATGATGTACAATAGTTATGCTTAATTTTTTAGGTTATAGCTTCATATCATCCTTAAAGTGGGAAATAGCCTTTTCTCATGTTCTGATCTTTGGGACTTGATCACTTTTAACTGCTACATTTTTTTCGGTAAGAAAATAGGATGAAATTCCCAAGTTCACTAATACATTTCATCTGGCTGATTTACTTCTTCCGATGTAACTGTTAAAAGCCATTTGTATGTTTTGATAAATGGCTAAGAGGAAAGTTTTGCAGGTGAAGGGAGTGGAGGTAATGTGCAAGGGTGTTTAATAAAAACTCTGTGGTGAAAAGCAGAATCAGTGAAATGGTGATACAGATGTGGGGAGGACTAAGCCACAAATGTATTATAGGTATAAATGCCATCTAAACAGCATCAAAATCAGTAAGTGTCTGTTAGCAGTAAGTAATGTTCTTGTACCTATTATAGCTGCTGAATTGTATAGTATGTGCAGTGGGAAGATGTGGGAGAAGTATTAAGTGCGAGTTCACCCACCTCTGCTGGAGGATCTTCGGCCCATAAGTCCTATGAACATCTCTCCTTGATCCCCTAGCATATTAAAGAAAGGAAAAGGTTGTCAGAGGCATAGCAGAGTGGCTCCATGCCTGGGACAGCTGCAACGTGTGGGGCAGTGCCAACTGTGGTGCAGATTGTGGCAGTGCAGTCAGCTGCCACTGCAGCAAAGGGGATTTTTGCATTCCTTTACCCCCTCCCCCCCACTAAAGAGTATTTTTGCATTCCTTTACCCCCTCCCCCCCACAAAAGCTGTTGTCCCAGGTGCCCCCCTCAGTTATGCTACTAGGTTGTCAGAGGTTTATAGAAGTAAAATGGAAACTATTGTAGTCAGGAAGATAAGAATGGGACACATCTACATTCCTGCAACTGAAACAGAGGTTTGTCACTTCAGTCTCTGTCACATCTGGTGTATGCAGTTTTTGTACTAATATAACTACTGTATTTCTCTCTCTCTCTCTCACTTTTCCCCAAATTACCTCTAATTGAGGTATGTGTTGGGGGTGGGGGGGTAATGTCTTAAGTGGGGAAGCTCATTTTCTGTTCAGAACAGAAGGAAGCACCCACCCCCCAAACCTTTGATTCTTTCTCTACCCAAAGTTTAAAATCAGCTGTGGGAGTCAACTGAATTAATGGCTCATTGTTATTACTCTTTACAGGTGTTAATGACTCTCTCCCCTGTAAAGTTTCACTAATCAAGCTGACTTTTCTTGTGGCAATTTTGCTCTCTGCTAGCTACTGCTCTCTCCTATTCACAGACTTTTTTAGCTTTTCAAATTTTTAGATGCAGCCATGAAGACCAGTCTTCAGTAGCAACTAAAGTTTTAGAGCTTCTGGCTAAGCAGGAAAGGGAGGGTGAATGAGCTGGAGATTAGGTTCTGTCTCTCTTTTATGAAGCTATAACTCTGGAATAATCTTTTTTCTTCACTCTGCCTTCTCAAAAAACAAGGCAAAAGTCTCATTTAGGGGCATGTGGAATGGGAGAAAAACACAGTATTTTGGTGAGAGAGGACTCCCTCTTCTGCTAAGATGCAAAATCAATAGAACCTCTAGAGAATTGTTGCTGCAGTTATCCTGGCATAAAACACTTCTGTATTAGCATAACTGATTCCTGGAAGTGTAAATTCCTAGGAATTCCTACAGGAATAAGCTATACTGGTGTACCACTTATATTGGTATAGCTGTACTCATACTGGTAATAGTTGGTTGTTACTGCTTTAATGTAACTAGATTTGTTTTCAAACAGATGTATTTAAAACAGGATGAAAATTGCTTAGGCACACCCTTGCTATGTGGTTTTATGTCTATGCTATTATGACCCTCAGCCCATGACCAAACACCCACGCACGTTTAGAAGTCTACAGAGCTGCAGTAATTTGGGCCTTAAGTCACAAGCCTAGAGCTGGAATCCTAGCTACTCTACTGCTGAACAAGGATGGTCTCTTAAACTGAAATATGTGGAGTGGAAAGAATTGAGCGTTCCTGAGCAGAGCTAGGACTGAGAGCCCAGAGGTAGGTGCTAAGAGCAATCAACACAAACCAAGATTCTTTGGGGCAAGATGGCTCCAATAAAGGATTCAAGACCTATACACTTCCTCTTCCTGTTCTGAGAGAGAAATTTTTAAAGAATGAGAGCATAAGACTGCAAACTAGGAAATTGAGTTCAAATGCCAGTTTTTCCTGCGATGGTGGCAATGTGCAAGTTATTTCATCTCCCTGCCTTAGTTTCCCTGCCTATAAAATACTTCTCGAGTATTGTATTTCACCCTGGTTTTTATGTCTATTTCAATGAATCTCACTAGTGGCATTTCTCCACTCCTTGGAAACAGCTTACTGCCCAGACTCCCAGTAGAACTTGGTGGTGAGAATGCTGATCTACCATTTTGGGGAACAGAGTGGCAGGTGACCATGCAAACTGGATACTTCCTACCCATCTCTCTCTCTCTTGTGGGGGACGGTGAGTGGGAGTGCTTGGTCAGCATGTACCACTGAGCTCTAAAAGCAGATACAAAAACAAACAAGCAAACAAAACCACTCTTATGCCCTGTTGACAGTCTTTGGCACCCCTGTAACAAGGAAAGAAATCAGTTGGACTCTGATGCCCCAGTCTTTTCCGTGTACTTAAAAATACAAAGTCAGACATGGTTAATGTATTTTGCTTAGATTTCTGCCTGTATTCAGGAGGAATGTACAAGTTTGTATGTTATCACTGCAATGGTATTTCCTTTTGGGTGGGCCTTCAGTATTGTATGGGAAGTAGCAGTAGCTTAAACTACATTGGTGGGGGGGATGTCTACATGAAAATTTTACTGCACTGTAGACTAATTAGCTGCGCAGTAAATGTCTTGGCATCTACACGTGTGTCCCTAATAGTCTGGAGTAAATTAATTTACCCTGAAGCAGTGCATGTGTAAACACTGCCCTGGCTGGCTGGGGCATGAGGGTGCTTCAGTGCAGGGGATGCATGCTGACTAGCCCTGGACTGAAGCACCCTCGTGCCCCAGCCAGCCCCTCCGCAGCATGTTGAGCCAGGGGGAGTGGCTCTGAGCTGGCAGGCTGACCCCCCATCCAGGCCTCCTGCCAGCTCAGACAGCTCCAACCCAGCTCAATGTGCTGTGCTCTTGGGCGCATGTTCAAATAGCAGCAAACTCCAGAGTTCATTGCTTTGCATTAATTGCACATTTATACATGCCCTGTGTTCTCTAGTTTTAGCCTCTTTGTGTTGAGACAAACAGGAGCTAGTCTTGCTGGATAGGCAGTACTTTGCAGGGAAGGAGCTGTTATTTTTCAAAATGGCCGTTTGATCTAGTAATCTGAGCGAAGGATTGGGAGATAGGAAAGCTGTTCTGCTCCCGCTTCTAACACCAGTTTATTCTGGGACAATTAGTATAGCTGCTTCTCTGAGCTTTGGTTTCTTTATGTGTAAAATGAGGATAATAGTATATACAATACTTTCTGATTATAAGTACAATTATTATGAGAGCATGGATCCTTTGGTGACTGGCACTGAATCTCAGTTAAATCTCAAGAAATGCTCTTCTGGAACGATAAAGTGGTTGTCACAAAGCAGGTCACAAGTGAGGAAAAAAAATCAGGAATGTTGGCTGTTTTCATACTAAAGCCCTAGAAGTCCTCTTTTTCCAAAAGTACCTCCCCACCCAAAAACAAAACAAAACAAAAAACCCAGCTCCCTGAAGAAGGACAAGTGCTAAGTCTTTGCTATCATAGGAGCTTGCACGCATTGCTCTGGTTGTCTGCACAAGGGTTGATTCCTGTAAGCACTGCACTTACCACTAGCCCGTTTTCCCATCAGGCCATAGAAGTGCTGAAATTTTCCCCTTTTCAGCAGCTTTGCAAAGCGCTGGAGTGGGCTGCTTTGCAAGTCCTCACCCTAAAAAGAAAAAGAAAAATCCTATGGTAGAAGCCGAAGTTCCCTCCCCACTGCTAGCAAGGGACAGAGAGCTAAGTGAAACCTTTAAAGCACGGAAAGTGAAATAGGTAAGAGATGCCAAACTGGTCGAGCCACTCTAGTTGTTTTTTTCACATGTGGATACTAATATGTATAGTAACTTAATAGGGCATCAAAAGATGCATCTTGACATTTGTGCCCCCTGACAGTTAATTTCCATAGCTCTGCTTAGACTGATGTCTCAATCCGTCGCTCTGCCAAAATAATTCCATGTTGATTCCTGCAACTAGATAATCCAGGCTATGAAATGCCTGTGCGTAGCTGGATAATGTTAAGCAGCCCATGATAGTTAATAATAATGCTACAGTTAATGGCAAAGAGTGATCTTCATTTCTGCTCTTTTAAGTCCTCATGAGACAAACAGCTGTCTGGTATATTTATGGCAAGAAGATATAAAAATGATACTGCATGTGAATTCAGTTCTTCACTGTCCTGCATTATGTGGATTGGTATGCACACATGCAGACATGCATACTAAAACGAGGTACAAGGCAATGAAGAGACATGTTAGTAAATGTACAGAGTTCAGGACAATAGAGAACCAGGTTCCACCTGCGCACTGAGGGTCATACAGCTTTCTGTGTGGGACAGAGCAAGTGTGTGTGTCAGTTTGGGTTTTAAATACCCTCAAAATTCAACTTCTCTTTCATTGCCAGAGATAAGATGCATCTACACTAAAAAGTGGCATGAGTCAGATTCTCAAACAGAGTCATACAAATCAGGAATGTGTATTTTAACGCTAACTTCAGGCCCTGGGACTCTTATAACAGTTGGGTTAGTGTCTGGTTAGGGGGATATGTTAAGAAAAATATATTAAAAAAATAATCACCAGATATTGAAACATCTGTAAGCCTTCCTTATTTGGGGCATATACTAACCTCTAACTGATGGAGGCGGAAAGGTGTTAGGAAGAAAATTTCCCTGGGGAGAAGTTATCCTGTAAGTGGCTGTTGCAATATTACTTCTGAAGCAGATGGTACGTACTACTTTGAGGTAAGGGCCTAGACAGTGCTGATCAGTATGGCTTTTCTTGTGAATTATTAAAACAACAGTCAAACTGAATAGACTACATGCCTAATTCTGTCTATCCATCCCAAGTTTGCTAATATGCATTGCATTTATATGAGAGTGTCTAGTCACTCTAAAGACAGAGTGGATATAGCTCATTAATCTACAGAGCAAGAGAGAGTGAGAATACCTGTTCTTTCCATTCTTCCTTTCCTGACTGCAGCACCTGGCTTCTGAGTGCAATATGAAACCTTTTCAGTACAGTGTTCTTCCTGCTTCAATGAAAGTGCTGTTACTTGTGATTAGCCCTTGGAAAGGACACAATAGAGGACCCTCAGCAAACAGGCACTGGCTTGCCTCAGGAAGTTAGGAAAATTGAATTTAATATATTTAACTAATGAGGGTATAGACAAGCTGATTGTCACGGCTGATGAGCTGGTTATTTCAGACAAGCCCTTCTCTTCAAATTCTCTAAAGTCTTAATTTTGAGGAAGAACTTTTTCAGCCTTGCTGACCAATTGTATAGGTACACCTAAAAGAGTCAAGCTTTTGACCAGCTTCCAAAGAACTTGGATTTAATCTAGCCATGGTATAAATGGATCCAATTCTATGGACTTCGCTGCCCACTCTATCTGCTATACCAAGTCTCAGATTTGCTTTAGCAAAAGTCTGTCCATACACCAAGGAGTCTTCCAATTCTGCTTTTCCATGGGTGGATGGTTCTCTATTAGGTGTACTTATCTCAGTGAATGAGGGAATTATTTGAAGGGCAGTTAAAATCAGGAAAAAAAATGACAAAAGTGATATGTTGCCATTCCACATTTTTCTTTCAGCACCTTTCTAGTCATAGCTTACAAATCATACAGTGAGTTTTCAAACTGCTGTGGCTGTCAACTCATGAGAACTGAGACACCAAGCCATGCTGTGGTGGTGCTGCGGCTGGTGATTAGGACATAAGACTGGGAATCGGGACTCCTAGGTGCTATTCCCAACTCTGCTGCTGCCTTTGTGTGGGGCCTGGGAAAGTCCTTCCCCTCTTTGCACCTCCAGTTCACCATTTGTAAAGTAAAAATTGATATCATTACCATATGTAAATACTTTGAGAATTTAAAATGAAAAGCACTTTATAAGAGCTAAATATAGTTATCACCAGCAATAAAATATGCGATGGGAGCTCTGCATGTGAGGATAGATGCTGCTACATAAGACAACAGATTCTGACTTGCTGTCCCTTAACAGCTCTGGTTAATAATAGTGATAGTGAGCTGAGCATCTAAGTCTTAAATATGGAACTTTTTTTTTTTTTTTAAACACAGCCTTTTTCTGCATGCAAGTGCACTTTAAAATGGATTAGCTGTATCCATGCAGTGTAAAGTATCCTTTTTAAAACAACCTCCTGGCATCCCATTTTAATGCATCTATTGCTGTAAAATAGATGCAGCAGCAGGATTGTTGTTAGGTGTCTTTTTCCCTCCCAGAAATAATTCCTTACACATACAGTTTTAATAATGCGAACTTGAACTGAAGTTACTTTACTTATCTGGTCCTGGTTTTCCCATCTGTACTATGCAGATAATTAACTTCCTTCCCTTCTGCCTTCTCCAGTCATGGTATGAGTATGGACTTTGAAGGGATCAGGTGCTTTAAGTTCAAAGCATTGTTACTAGTTCCTCATTATCCATCTTTACAAAAGTTAAATCAGGTGGTGTTCAAATACTGAAATAACATATTTGCTAAGCCAGAAATGGCATTAAAACACCCTCCCAGCCTTCACAAGCTATTGATAAGATGAAGAACGAATCAAAGTTACCTTCATGGATGTGGCTGTCCAAGGCTCTTCCTCCAAACTGCGCACTGTTTCTTTAAAACAGAAAATCTGTGAACACAGAAAAATCAGTAGGAAAAGAACCTTAATGTTTTCCATAGTTCTTGACATAGAGCTCTGTCTAATTCTTTATTGATTAATAGTTTGTTTTTTAAATGGATCTGAGCTCAGTGAGAGAAGATTATTTCCCCCTCCGTTGGACCAGTTTATATTGGAATATTTTTTTCTTTGTCACTTCTGTCTAATAGCTATGCTGTAATTCACTGAGATCAGGGATGTATCAGTTTCACCAAGAAACTAGCTCCCTAACTCCACTTCTTTTTTTTCCTGTTCTTCCTCTGCTGTATCAAAGTCCTAGATCCTTTCTCCTTGTACCCAAATCTGAGCTCTGTCTCCTTTATTTATCCAGCCTTCTCAAAGATACTTGCCTCCCCCAATCCAATTAGTCAACAGCTACTCTTATGAGGTACAGAAGTACCCAATGGTTCCAGAGTAAAGCTCTAAGAAGGAGGGCTTTGTACAGGAGAAGGAGGGATGATTTCTACTCCCCTTTTCCTCTGGTTATTGATTCTCTCAGTTTCCATCAGTGAACCTCAAGGCAGATCAGCTGTGCTGCGTAGGGAAACCATTCCATTGTTCCTTTTTAAAGACTTCTGAAAACAATTGCTTTGGATTTAGAAAGTGCATATTACTTAATTTTCTCCCCAGCCTCCAAATTCATTTTGCTGAAGTTTGCAGCATTCCCTCTGCACATGAAAAATGAGCAGCCAAATCTGTGCCTGCATTTTAGGAAGTGTGTGCATACATGTAAGAATACATATACATCTACATATGCAGGCCACGTTATCTGCTTGGGGTTTAGTTTGACTATTCAAATTGATGCTCTTGTTCATGTGGGGTTCCAAGTCTTCTCTTTTGCAGGAATTCAACAATTTAGCACTTCATCTTCAGTGCTAAGTGCTGTTTTATCCTTCTTTCTTCCATCCAGTTCATTCTCATCATGAGGGATAGCACCCTCCTTTAAGTGAGGAATTGATATGTTGGGACTCCGCTTTGAAATCACACTGAGCGCAATCAGCAATGGCTTTACAGTGAGTCAATTTGACTCTACAGCTGAACCACAGAGGCACGTCTGATTAAATCTGTCAAGCATTTTTTCCAGCTGCTGATTTCCTCCTCTGTTTATAAACACAATATTTATCTTCCGCCTTTAAAAATAAAACAAGCAAGCATCTTCAAACTAGCGGATTTATATATAGGGAAAACCAAGCAGGCACAACCTGATTGCTGCAGGGCTCCTTACCCACCCCACAAAAATGTTCATTTGGCAAATTGTGTAATATTATGTGGTATGGGGAAAATGGTTCATTTGCTGCTTCCTCAGGTACAAGCCGTTGTTGAAGAAAGGGTACTGGTCTATCTGGACCTTTTTACTGCCCTCCTTGAGTAAATTTTATATTTTATTTTTATTAGCTCACTTAACCATGCACATCAGTTGTGGTGTCGAATTCCTAAATTTCCTTTGTGACCTCAATAGTACATTTTCATATGCCTGAATGGTTTCTGCCAGTAGTATAACAGGGGTGGGTGACTGGGGCATTCTCCCTGGGCATTGACTTAGAGGGAACACAAGAATGGCAGCTGCTGCTAAAGTCAGCCCAGCACCTACTGCTGCCTTTGCTGCCCACTGCGAGGACCCTGGCAAAGAATGTTAAGCAAGTCCCATTTTCTTGTATGCCTTGTTAAAGACGTCAGCGATTATCTGAAGGTCTACTTGAGAGTGAACACATACTACAGCATCATTAGCATACTGGAGCTCAATGACTGAGGTCAGGGTGGTCTTGCTTTTGGCTCAGAGTCGGCTGAGATGAAACAGCTTACCATCTATTTGGTAATTTAGCTTCACTCTGACTAGAAGCTTGCTGGTGTTCAGATGTAGCATCGCAGCAAGGAATATCGAGAAGAGTGTTGGAGCAATGAGACAGCCTTGCTTAACTCCCGTTTTAGTCTCAAAGAGATCTGTGATAGATCCATTATTGAAAACCACCCCTCTCACACCATCATAAAGCGGGGAAAGAATGGTGACAAATTTCAGTTGGCATCTGTACTTCAGAATGATCTTCCACAGCACTTCTAGGTTGACAGTCTAAGGCTTTTGTGAGGTCAGAGGTGGCGATGTAGAGACATTTATGTTGTTCCTGGCAATTTTCCTACACCTGGCAAGTAGCGAAGATCATGTCAGTTGTGCCTCTTGATGCCCTAAACCAGGGGTGGGCAAAATGCGGCCCAGGGGCTGGATGCGGCCTGCCAGGCCATTCTATCTGGCCCTTGGGGCCCCTAAAAAATTTAGAAAATTAATATTAATCTGCCCTGGGCTGCCTGTCATGCGGTCCTCGATGGCTTGCCAAAACTCAGTAAGTCGCCTTCTGCCCAAAATAATTGCCTGCCCCTGCCCTAAACCCACACTGAGATTCCGGGAGGAACTCTTCAGCAAGTGGAACAAGACTGTTCAGGAAGGTTCTTACAATGATCTTTCCTGTGGTAGACAGCAAGACAATCCCTCTGTAATATACAATTTTGGACTTGCCTGCTTTCTTGAAGATTTTCACAGTCATGGCATCCCTGAGGTCATCTGGGATTTCCTCATCATTCCAGATCCTTAAGCTGAGGGCATGGAGATGTGATGTGAGCATCTCTCCCCCCTGCTTAAAGATTTTGGTGGTGATTCCATCAGCTCCAGGTTCCTTGTCATTCTTCATCTGCTTGATGGCTTTCCTCATCTCATTAAGGGTTGGAGTGATTCTGAGATCGTTTCTGACTGGGTGTTGTGGGATGGATTTGACAATGATCCTTCCAATGGGCATTGATGGCTCTCCTTTCCTTGATCAGGTCTCTGCCATCCTTAGGTCTCAAGGAGGTTAGTCCCTGAATGCTTGGATCATAAATGGTTTTGGTGGCACTGAAAGAACTGCACATATTGTGGCTGTCAGTGAGATGTTGAATCCTCCTTTGCCTTGTCTTCCCACCATTAGTTCTTCATATCGCAGATCCTTCTTTGGACCGCTGCCTAAGCTTGTTGGTGATTCAGTTTCTTTTGCTTGGAGTTGATGTCATCCTGTCAAGCACAAAAAGCCTTGCTTTTGTGGTCAATCAACCTTGGATTTCCCAGTCAGCAAGCTCTTAATGAGAAGTCCCTAGCTCTGGTAATTTAGATTCACAGTAAGACTCTGGAGAACACTGTTTCCTGTACTTCAGAAGCCATCTCTCACAGAAGGCTGACATTGATGAAGAAATCCCAACATCGCCTCAGATATACAAGTGCAACGTTCAGATGTCTGAGGAAACAGGCATTTGAAGATCACCACATGAGATCTGAAGCCAAGCTCCTGGTTTATCAAGTAGTCATGATCCTCACCTTACTGTATGGAGCTGAGACGTGGACAATGTACAGAAGATACCTCAAATAGCTGGAGAAGTACCATCAGCGCTGCCTGCGGAAGATCCTTCGAATCCAGTGGGTAAACATGCACCAACATTAGCGTTCTCTTTCAAGCAAACACCACAAGCATTGAGGCAATGATCATCCAACGTCAACTTAGCTGGGTCAACAACATTATCTGGATATCTAACTCCAGATTCCCAAAGCAAGTTTTATTTTTCCAGCTTAGTCAAGTCGTACACTCAAGCGGAGGGCAGAGAGAACACTTCAAGGACATCCTTAAGTTAGCACACTTGAAAAAATGCAACATCAATATCAACTAGTGGGAAATTTGCCCAGGACTGCTCCAAAAGGAGGAAGAGTCTGCTGCAAAGATCTCAGGGCTTTGAAATCTTACGATGACAAAGACGAGCTGGAAAAAGGGGAGTGGCAGAAACAGCGTGTCATGGACCAAACCAAGAACTCAGAACCACCCACCCTGCACAGAAACATGTACCTGAGCTGCAACAGAGTCTCTTGATCCTGGATAGACCTTGTTGGCCATCTTCAGACCTGCAGATAAGACTATCATGGAAGACAATCATCCTCGACCATGAGGGATTGCCAATTGATAATGGACCCTCATAGTTCTGGCTCTGGTTTCTGCATTTCAATTGTAGTCTGACTTCCTTCTGACCCTCCCAGGCAGTGATTTTGATAGCACCTTGCCAAAGCAAAATCCCTGAGGAAGAATTAATAGTGGTGCAGCACTTAACTAAAACTTCCCCTACTGTAGTTTACAAGAATCTCTCATTGCTAGGGGTCTACACAATTTAAGGAGATGGCTGGCTGATTTCATGGGCAGACCACGGGGCTGGCTACCATTTTTGATGGCTTATTGTGGTGGGGCCCCCCTACACCTCTGGCCCTGCCCCGTCACTTATTGGTGGAGAGGGCTGTCCATCATGTGGCCTTCCCCCTCACTGCTGATTAGCACAGAGGAGTGGGCTGCACAACAGGCAGCCCTCCCAGCCAATCAGTGGTGAGGGGCAGGGTTGGCAGCCGTCTTGTCAGCAACCCTTCCTGCTGGCAACCCCCCTCCCTTCTTCCCCTGAGCGGGCCACAGTCGCTGGAAGAACTGCTGGGTCCCACTGGGGAGCCAGCATTTTATTTTTAGTAAGTTTTTTTTCCTCTGCAGATTTCGTGATTTCTGCAAAACCCCCACAATCACAATTTCAGACTAACATGGCTATGTCTCTGCTAAATATCTTGCCAGCAGGGAGAGAGAATGAACTGAAAAGTTAGGTCTTGACCCACCATTCTCCATGGCTGACTTCCTGCACTGTGTAGGAGGAATTTTTTAAAAATCCTCATTGAAAATAACAGCACTCTGAAATGGAGTGAGATTAGGAAAAATTAGGTTGATATTCAGTAAAAATCCTTCTCAGTTTCCTTAATCGTTTTATGGTATAAAGCACTTCAGTAACGTTTCTCTCCCACAGAAAAGATTTTGCCTTCTCAAGGAGCTGGGAAGTCAGGACTACTGGGTTCTACTTGTTAATTTGCTGTGCAGCCTCAGGCCATGTCTACATGAGGAGCACTTTCCTGGTCTAGAACATTTTTTCCAGCTATTTAATTGGTCTAATAAAAGAGATCACATTTACCCAAAGAACCTTTGTCCTCATACGTCCTGGTAGACTCCACCAGTGCAGAGCTTCTAATGCCAATACAGCTATGCTAGCCAAACAACACTTATACTAGTCAAGTGAAACCACTCCCATGGGTGAGACAAGCTATATTGGCAACAGTGTTATTTTGTTTGTATAACTGGCTAACCCTGGGTCTTCTTCTGTCACCGTGGACATACCAAATTCGGGGCAGCTGGCTCCCGATTTCACGGGCAGGATGCGGGGCCAGGCAGCCGTTTT